GTTTGAGGGTAATATTCCACTCTTCCACCGATAGTGGTGCCTCCATGAGATCACTCACTTGCGAGGGCAGGGTAGGCATTCCAGATCGCGTCAGGTAGTTCTCTATTAAGGGACAGCGGCCCGCTACGTCTACCTGGGACTGGCCGGGGTTCAGGTTGTATAAGTGGGCGTAGAAAACCTCGAATTCCGCGGCCATGTCCCTTGACAATGACAATTTAGTACCTGACCTGGAGTTAATGTGTGGGATATACATTTTCGACCGCGTACCCCCCAACGCTCTCGCCAAGAGTCTACCCGGTTTGTTAGAGTATTCGTAGAAGGTACGTTTACAGGTCACTAATCGTTGTTTGGTGCGCTGGTATCGTTGTTTGGTGCGCAGGGCGTTCAACTCAGTCCGTGCCTGTTGGAGAGCTAACTGGGAAGACTGTGCTAAAGAGCGTTCGTGGCACGCCTCCAGTCTGTAGATTTGGTCTGTCAAGGTAGAAATCTGTTCAGCCCTTTCCCTCTTGCGTCGAGCTCCATGACGTATGAGAATCCCCCTGACCACACACTTGTGGGCCTCCCATACCATCGAAGGGCTAGGCCCTGACTCGGAGTTTGAGATGAAGAAGGATCTAATGGCACCTTCCACCTCTGCCTTGATCCCCGGGTCTTGAATGAGAGATTCATTCAAGCGCCAGGATGACATTGGGGAATGCTGGGGTCCTATGACCATGTCCATATGAATAGGGGCATGATCCGACAAGAGTATAGTATCTATGGCGGCCGAGCGCAGGAACGGCAAGGCCTGATGACTCACAAAGAAAACGTCTATCCTGGAGTATATCTGATGGACTTGAGAATAGTAAGTATAGTCTCTAGCTTCGGGATGTAGAAACCGCCATGCATCTACTAAGCGTAACCCCTGAAGCTCCGCCTTCAGTTTCTTCAGGTACGCATAGGAGAGGTGTGACGCTCCCCTGGAAACATCCACTAATGGGTCCTGTGCAAAGTTCATGTCCCCTCCCAAAATCAGGGAACCCTCTGAGAAGGCCATTAGTATGGACACCAGGTGTCTCAGGAAGGTTAGCTGGTCTGAGTTGGGAAGATACACATTGGCTAGGGTGATTACCTTGTCCCCAATCCGGCCCTTGGCAAGCTCTGTCAGACCCAGCTACAGGTCGACTTTGATTTGACACACCTCCCCCCTCACTGAGGGTAGGAGATGACCTATTGGGGGACCTAGCAACACCTACGTGTCACTAGGTAATGACAAATGGCAGAACAGTAAGGCAACAATAAGATAAATCATATAAAACTCAAAACTTTGCAACAAGTGTATTTAAACAAGCAAAACTTTCAACTGAGCCATGCTAGGTATGGCCGGGACGGCCAAAAGAACCACACTTTACCGCAAGACATGTGCATATCCATCTTGTAAGGCTAGCTATCGGTAGCCTCCTGTCCCGGGAACCGCCGGCCAGGCCCGAGCCCCGCAAGACCGACCGTGGTGGGCCCACCCAATCCGGAGGTTCCACGCAGCCGCTCCCGCTGGTCGGGGTATCGCCGGCATGCTACTTGACCCCCGGTCGGTGTCACAACCCGGGCCCAGCCCACGCCCCCCGGGGGAGGACAGCTCTAAGGATGAGAACATAACATGCATAACAAATTACTACAACTCAGCTGGGCCAGGTCCTCCGAACTTGGATGGCCTGGAGAGGACCAGCTGCGGAAGATGTCCACTGTACAATATAACCTTGTGTGTTGCTGACCCTCCCCTGCCACCCCCCCTTTTCCAAGGCATACGCAAATCAAGGATACAACGGAGCCCTGCGTGTCCCATCGGGACACAAAGTCAGTCCACGGGATCCGCCGGAAGAGAATCCTAGATAGAGTCAAGCCACGGGGTAGTCATGTGGCATCCACACTTGGATCAGGGAGGGCTGGCAGTTCTGGATACTCACGGCTCCCTTGCGTCTCTACTGCTGGACGGGGTACCCCGGAGATAGGAGCGCTGGCGGGGGCGGGATCCCCTCACTGGTCTAGGTGTTGCAGGGCTCGGTCCAGGTCGATCCATCGAGAAATCCAGCCAGTTCGGCACAGGAACCACATCCGACTCCAGGAACGTAAAGAGGGCCTGCAACTGCGTGGGGTCATGTAAGTGAAAGATCCGATTCTCCCGGGAAACAATAAGATGAAAGGGATGGCCCCAGCGATAAGTAGCGCCTGCTGTTCTGATCACTTCCAGCACCGGCCTCAGGATACGGCGCATACGCAGGGTATGGCGGGAAAGATCCGGCATAATTTGGACCCTCGCTCCGTCTAAGTCCAATGGACCTTTATTCCAAGCTCTGCGGAGAATCTCCTCCTTTATAGCATAAAAGTGGACCCTGCAGAGGACATCTCTTGGGGCTCCCAAAGGCAGTGTACGTGCCCCCTGAGCTCTATGCACGGGTCCAGCTCTGCAGTGGGCGGCTTGTCCAGATAATGATTGAGGATGGCCACAACAGAGGATCTCAGGTCCACTCCCGCCGTCGCCTCCGGTATCCCCTTAAGGCGTAGGTTGTTTCTGCGATTCCTGTTTTCGCTGTCGTAACTTGTAGA